TTATGCGAGTAAAAGCTTGTCCACGTACATTTATAAAACGTACAAGTGTCAATATTAGCAAGTAGTGTTGATTAAATCAATGGCCGAAATGCTTGAGAAATTAAGCTTTAAAATTTCTGATGGGAGAGATATTAAGATGAAATCCACTTCTAAAGGAAGATATTAAGATCTCCTTTAAGATAGTCTATAATGTGGATATCACGGGGGTGACAATATGTGGCCTTTACAAGGAAATATGTACAGTACATATGTACAAGTATGTACATACCCCATCAGTAAGACACTGTCTCTCTCCATATAACATTGATCACCTTGAAAACGAAATTAGGAACCGTAATGCCTAACAAAGGCTCTTTGCATTAGAAAGCGCGATTGTCAGAGCCCTTTGTTGTAAACTATCATTTCCTGCTGGACGCCCAAAACTGTATGTGTCCGTCACTACACACCGGGGCCGTGGTAAACAAGATTTAAACATTCCCGCGTTAATTCCAATCCTAAACAGCTGCAGAATTTTTTTATCGAGTTCGAATAATTGCAGAGCGGTTACTTTGAACACAATTGTGACTATAATTTGTATAATGTTTAAATAATCACAGAGAGGTCCCTTACATCCTCCAAGTTTAAATTTGCTTTCAATATGAGGAACCTTCCGGGTTCAGTGAGAGTAGAGTCAATATGCACACATAAACACAATCACATCAGCAGCATATAGTAAGCTGGCGAACATCAGGGCGGCCCTCATGACCGTAGACAACTGTACAAAACACCTTAAACAGCACATGTTGGACCAGAGGCAGAGTATGCAGCACTGGCCTGGAGCCCCAAGCTTATAAAACCCATTCAGAAGACTAAGAAAGAATGGAGCCACCACGATGGAACTAAAATCACCTACACTAGGAGAAAGACAGACTACATGATCCCGACATACAAAATACTTAGGAATATCGATGACATAGAGAGAATGTTAAGGTGGAGCAGGAACTTAACGAGAGGCCAGGGGCCAGATTCACGAAGCAGTTACGCAAGTACTTACAAACCTGTACATCGTTCTTCAATCTTTGACGGCGTTGTTTACATTTATTAAACAGTTTACAAGCATGAAAACTTCCCAATCAACAGTTTTTATTGTTATAAACAGCCTCCTGGTGCTTCGGAGCTCATTAACTGTTTAATAATTGTAAGCAAAGTCACCAAAGATTGAGAAAAGATGGAAAGGTTCGTAAGTGCTTGCGTAACTGCTTCGTGAATCTGGCCCCAGGCGTGGAAGTCACACACACGAGACATAGGGATGTGAAGAAGCACTTCAACAGTTTAAGGTCAGCAAGCAAATGCGACGAACTAGAAGGATAAATACTAGAGAGACTAATATTCATACTCTACATACATATATATTCATAATATTCTATAATATTATTCATAATATTCATACTCTACTCTAGCAAAAAGTCAGAACATCCTTCAGAAACTTGAATAAGGAGCTTTTAAGATCACTATATGCCGCCTATGCCAGTCTTAGAGTATGCCGCCCATGAGAGTCTTAGAGTATGCCGCCTATGCCAGTCTTAGAGTATGCCGCCCATGACAGTCTTAGAGTATGCCGCCCATGACAGTCTTAGAGTATGCCGCCCATGACAGTCTTAGAGTATGCCGCCCATGCCAGTCTTAGAGTATGCCGCCCATGACAGTCTTAGAGTATGCCGCCTATGCCAGTCTTAGAGTATGCCGCCCATGAGAGTCCTAGAGTATGCCGCCCATGCTAGTCTTAGAGTATGCCGCCCATGCCAGTCTTAGAGTATGCCGCCCATGCCAGTCTTAGAGTATGCCGCCCATGCCAGTCTTAGAGTATGCCGCCCATGAGAGTCTTAGAGTATGCCGCCCATGCCAGTCTTAGAGTATGCCGCCCATGCCAGTCTTAGAGTATGCCGCCCATGCCAGTCTTAGAGTATGCCGCCCATGCCAGTCTTAGAGTATGCTGCCCCATCGTGGAGCCCCCATCTAAAGAAACACATAAGCTAAAATATATGCAGAAATTTGCAACGAGACTCGTCCCAGAGTTGCGAGGGATGATGTACGAAGAGAGACTGAAGGAACTAAACCTGACGACGTTAGTAAGGAGGAGGGAGACGGGGGGACTTGATACAGACGTACAAAATCCTTAGAGGGATTGACAAGGTGGAAACACATGAAATGTTTACAATGAATATCAATAGAACAAGGGGGCATGGATGGAAGCTTGAGACTCAGATGTGTCATAGAGATGTTAGAAGGTTTTCTTTTAGCGTAAGGGGCAGTAAATGGAACGACCTACAGGAGCAGCTTGTGGAGGCTAACTCCATTCATAACTTTAAAAGCAGGAATAATAGGGAAATAGGTCAGGAGTCATTGTATTAGACAACCAACGACTAGAAAAGCGGGGTCGAAGGGCTAGAGTTCGATTCCGCAGCACAAAAAACGAGAACAAATGTGTGAGTGTACACACACACACACACACACACACACACACACACACACACACACACACACACACACAGTTGTCCCTAAGTACACAGGAAGTACATCTTCTTGAGATCTTGAGATGATTTCGGGGCTTAGTGTCCCCACGGCCCGGTCCTCGACCAGGCCTTCGCCCCCAGGAAGGAGCCCGTGACAGCTGACTAACTCCCAGGTACCTATTTACTGCTAGGTAACAGGGGCATCAAGGAGAAAGAAACTCTACCCATTGTTACTCTCCGGCGCCCGGGATCGAACCCAGGACCACAGAATCACACGTCCAGTGTTCTGTCCGCTCAGCCACCGGCTCCCTACACATAGCAATAACTCCTACACACACTTTACATGGTCTTAGAGATTGGGACGCAGATACTTCCACAATGTAGTAAGAGTCGTTTCCTAATTACTAATACTTCCAAACTATAAAAAGCGCCTTTTATTCTACCAAAACCTTGATTTCGTAACCAGGCGAGTAATATTTTTTTAAATTTCCCGCTTCCCATGAGTAAACTGACGAATTGGCGTGTTGTCGTTCGTACACAGCCAGAAAAAACCAGCTTACGAATAATAATTAACATGTTGACCAGACCACACACTAGAAGGTGAAGGGACGACGACGACGTTTCGGTCCGTCCTGGACCATTCTCAAGTCCCTTCACCTTCTAGTGTGTGGTCTGGTCAACATACTTTAGCCACGTTATTGGGACTCATCGCCTGAATAATTAACATGTATTTATACCTCTTACCCGAAAAAATTTACCGTAAAAGATGTAGAATCGAGTTGTTTTTCGAGAGATTTTCAAGTCTCTGGTGACCTGGCAGCCACTCTCCTCACAGCAAGGTCTTGATGATGTTGTAATCCCGTGTAAGAGCCGCGCCCAGTGACCCGGGGGGCAAGAGACGGGCTGCTTATCTTCATCAGAAAGCAGTGCGGCTTAGAGGCTCCTGGAGGCGCAGTCAACGAAGATCGGGGTTACAAACCCGCTCGTGTCTGTAACGTGTTTGTAAACTCGTTCGTTCGGGTTACAAACATGTTACAGGCACGAGCGGCCTTCCCTTCCAGGCAACTTGTCAGGGTGGAAAGCGCCAAGACATTACTGTATAGCACTGGGAAGGGGTCAAGATAAAGATTAGGGATGGGCTGGGGGGAAAGGAATGGTGCCCAACCACTTGGACGGTCGGGGATTGAACGGCGACCTGCATGAAGTGAGACCGTTCGTGTAGGAATAATAGTCATTTTCTATACATTGAAGGCATAAGCAATTAGCAAATACCACTTATTACTCTGGAATAAAAAAAAATGTTACACAGTCAACTGACGTTTTAACGCGTTTGTTTTAATATTTTCATCCATGTTTAACTCGTATATAATTATTAATCTTTTAATTATTGTAATTACCAAATTCAATATAATTATATCTTTAATTAATATGATTAACAAATAATTTGTTTTGACCTTGTTCCTGATAGTTAAACTAAAATGTGTAGTGAATAGTAAATTAATTTTGATTTAGAGTCTGATTTTTCCTTTTCTTGCAAGTAAAATAAATTGCTGTTCTCGGTAATTAATTTGTTCATAGAATGAGAAACTCCACTAAGATTTGTAATTAAGATAAATGCACAAGATCTGGTATCATTATTATAAGTGTGTGTGTGTGTGTGTACTCACCTAGTTGTACTCACCTAGTTGTGTCTGCAGGATCGAGCATTGACTCTTGGATCCCGCCTTTCGAGCATCGGTTGTTTACAGCAATGACTCCTGTCCCATTTCCCTAATATACCTGGTTTTAAAATTATGAATAGTATTTGCTTCCACAACCTGTTCCTGAAGTGCATTCCATTTCCCCACTACTCTCACGCTAAAAGAAAACTTCCTGACATCTCTGTGACTCATCTGAGTTTCAAGCTTCCATCCATGTCCTCTCGTTCTGTTACTATTACGTGTGAACATTTCGTCTATGTCCACTCTGTCAATCCCTCTGAGTATCTTATACGTTCCTATCATGTCCCCCCTCTCCCTTCTTCTTTCTAGTGTCGTAAGGCACAGTTCCCTCAGGCGCTCCTCATACCCCATCCCTCGTAGCTCTGGGACGAGTCTCGTTGCAAACCTCTGAACTTTTTCCAGTTTCATTATATGCTTCTTCAGATGGGGACTCCATGATGAGGCGGCATACTCTAAGACTGGCCTTACGTAGGCAGTGTAAAGCGCCCTAAATGCCTCCTTACTTAGGTTTCTGAATGATGTTCTAACTTTTGCCAGTATAGAGTACGCTGCTGTCGTTATCCTATTTATATGTGCCTCAGGAGATAGATTAGGTGTTACGTTACGTATATAATATCATATATTCAAGCGCTTTAAGTGTTACACCCTTTCCATTTACTAAGATCTATAACGCTAAACCTGGCTGTCCTTCCCATTCCATCAACTCTACATGAAAAACCAAACCACTCAATTTAATCACTTCTATCCGACAAGAGAAGGAAAACAGCCCCTTTCATTCCACACAAAGATGGAGCCAACGTCTCCCCATCCCACACAAGGAAGAAGCCAACCTCCCCCCATCCCACACAAGGAAGAAGCCAACCTCCCCCCATCCCACACAAGGAAGAAGCCAACCTCCCCCCATCCCACACAAGGAAGAAGCCAACCTCCCCCCATCCTACAGAAGGAAGAAGCCAACCTCTCCCCATCCCACACAAGGAAGAAGCCAACATCTCCTCATCCCACACAAGGAAGAAGCCAACCTCCCCCCATCCCACACAAGGAAGAAGCCAACCTCGCCCTATCCTACACAAGGAAGAAGCCAACGTCTCCCCATCCCACACAAGGAAGAAGCCAACCTCGCCCCATCCTACACAAGGAAGAAGCCAACGTCTCCCCATCCCACACAAGGAAGAAGCCAACCTCGCCCCATCCTACACAAGGAAGAAGCCAGCCTCTCCCCATCCTACACAAGGAAGAAGCCAACGTCTCCCCATCCCACACAAGGAAGAAGCCAACCTCTCCCCATCCTACACAAGGAAGAAGCCAGCCTCTCCCCATCCTACACAAGGAAGAAGCCAGCCTCTCCCCATCCTACACAAGGAAGAAGCCAACCTCCCCCATCCCACACAAGGAAGAAGCCAGCCTCTCCCCATCCTACACAAGGAAGAAGCCAGCCTCTCCCCATCCTACACAAGGAAGAAGCCAACGTCTTCCCATCCCACACAAGGAAGAAGCCAGCCTCTCCCCATCCTACACAAGGAAGAAGCCAGCCTCTCCCCATCCCACACAAGGAAGAAGCCAACGTCTCCCCATCCCACACAAGGAAGAAGCCAACCTCTCCCCATCCTACACAAGGAAGAAGCCAGCCTCTCCCCATCCTACACAAGGAAGAAGCCAACGTCTCCCCATCCCACACAAGGAAGAAGCCAACCTCTCCCCATCCTTCACAAGGAAGAAGCCAGCCTCTCCCCATCCTACACAAGGAAGAAGCCAGCCTCTCCCCATCCTACACAAGGAAGAAGCCAGCCTCTCCCCATCCTACACAAGGAAGAAGCCAGCCTCTCCCCATCCTACACAAGGAAGAAGCCAACGTCTCCCCATCCCACACAAGGAAGAAGCCAACCTCTCCCCATCCTACACAAGGAAGAAGCCAGCCTCTCCCCATCCTACACAAGTGTAACGGGGGGTGGGGGAAATAGCTCTATCTTGTCCATTATTCCACCCCCCAGTTAACTAACGAGGCCGGGGGAAACAGCTCTCTCTAGTCCGTTATCCCGTCCCCAGTTAGCTAACTATTCTAGAGCACCTCCAGAGTTCCTAAGGCAACCTCTCTCGTTCAACACGTTGTAACCTAGGTATTTGACTACCTAGGTGCTAAGACTACAAGGCGCCGTAACTGGATCAGTTACCCAAAACTCTAGAGAGAACTCTAGAATACAAAATCATTGCCACAAACGTATAAGAGGAAACGAAAGGAAAGAAATGAAAAGTGAAGTAATTAGTGAGGGTTTGGGGTGAGAGGTAGAGAGGTGGGAGGAGCGAGGAGGGTCATTAGTTGAAAGTGAGAGTTTAGAGAGGGGGTGGAGGGAGAGGTGTAGATAGGTAGAAGTAGAAGAGTAGATAGTAGAAGTAGAAGAGTAGATAGTAGAAGACGAAATGCTGCCACCATCCATTCATGATCATTACATACAAGACAAGGAATGGAACTTGCCTGTATCACAAAATTCTCAAAAGATGTTATCATGAGTTCATTATTAGTATGTTCCCTCTGTACCATGTACTCATTAAAATCAGGGAACCAATAATCCCCGAGGCTTTCTCACCTCAACTCAACTCTAGGGACACAGTGAAAGACCATTTAAATAATAAATTCAACAATTATATTTTTCATGATAAATATCATAACTTAAGCAATCCAATTAAAATGTTAAAGATTAATATTCAAAGTGAGTCATCCTCCAAGAATCTGAGAACACTACAATTGACTGCCCCTGATCGTCACACAACACTTGTAAAACACGACAAGTCACCTTAATGTTCACTCACCGAGGACTGAGTCTAAGTTGAATAGAGAGGGGGGGGGTCTGTAGTTGACAGAGACTCCCGCCCTGCCGGCCGACAGCCTCCCTGCTAGGGCCGTCTCCTCTGCTCTGCTCGTCTGCTGTTCTCTTGATTTAATCCTCCATGCTCGATAGCTCTCCGAGTTTATATTGGGGAACCTAGTAGCTAACTCCGCCCACAAGTAGATAGCCTCCGGCACTCTACCAAGCCACTCCTTAAACGTCGGCATGTTTGAAGGCTACCAGACTACAACTAAGAGATTATCAGAAGCAAGGTGAAATTCGCATGATCTGACCTCAGGTCACTTGGGGTCATTAACGCTTTGAGGTGTGAGTTCTCAGGCAGACAACTGGCGCCTCTCAGATCCTTGTCTGTGACTCATGTACTCTATGTATGTATTAAACTAAACCAAACACTTTTACAGTGTTACATCTCCCCTTCTCCCCGAAATAAAGTTTTTGCAACACTGCTAAAGCAAGCTAGCTGTGTGCAACAACTTTATTAACGAAAAAAAAAATACATCCTAGCTAAACAAATATACATCATCCTACTCTAAAAAAATGAAATATATAGACAGACGTCCATTGTCTCTGGCTGGGCGACGTCACTGCTTGGTCTTGTAGATAATCCTGTACCACATTTCTTCAACACAACTGCCTCCGTCGCTTCTCCGTCGTTAACGCACAACAACCCTTGGTCAACCCGAAAGCCGTTACTACTTGAACTGCGCACAGGACCGTGGAATTCGGTTGTCCCAGCTGATCTGTAATTGGCCCTACGTCAGTCACCATGAGAGACGTATATTGGGGTTCTTCACAGCTATAGGGACTACAAGTTTCGAGACCTTCATATAGTTGCCAACAGTAGAAATCCCATCCTACTCTTCTTCCTCCCTGTTGCTCCAGCACGCCTCCTTCAGAGAGCTACTTCTGACAGCCACATCAAGTCCGCACGACACAGGAAGAATCATTCAACAGAGCAACATGCTTGCAGGAGGGGCGGCCAGTTAAGGCAAACGATCCTGTCTTGCAATTACGCTCCATGCAATGATGCTGACACCAGCAAGGAACACGAGGCATCGTGTCTCACTCAGCTTGTCTTATCTTCTTCTTCTTCTTTCTTCTTTCTTCTCTCTTCCTCCTCCCATGGGTCTTTGACAAGCGACCTGGGGTCCATTGGGGTCCGTCCGTCCTGGGGTCCATCCTGGGTAGACCGATGTTGGTGGGACAGACTGGAGTCGTTGTTGCTCCTCTTCCATCTTTACTGGGTCGTCTGGGGTCGTCTGCAGAACGACCTGGGGTCCAGTCCGTCTTGGGGTCCGCTGGGGTCCGTCCGTCCTGGGGTCCACTGGGTAGACCAATGTTGACTGACCGAGAGGGCTGCATCTTGGGGTCCCCTGGGGTGGTGATGGTGGTGGAGCCATGACCTCCAAGTAGTGGGCTGGTCGTGGTGGTGGTGATAAACGCCCGTGAGTATGGTACACAGCAGCCGTCTCCCTCTTTTGTATGTGTGTCTCTCCTCTCTTCTGGCTCCCACCTGTGGGTGAACAGAAAGGCGACAATACCCGTGTTCCATCTTGTTGTGTGACCCTGTAGTTTGTATAGGGTTCACACAGTCCAATTATAAGCTCTCCTCCTGGCAACAACTACACTTAAATTTTAATAATCCAATTAACTCTGAATGATACTGACTTGGTGGAACATAAAACAGTAACAGAGTAAAGTTAGAGAAGAGAGAATAAGGTCATCACTACTTAATTTGTCACTAAACCAATCTCCACAATAAATATCAAAACTAATAGACCAAACACTAGCCTAACTTAACTATACCGTTCCTAATCTTAAGTACATAATTAACCGTTACTCCCACCCTTAACCTACAGCCACCTACGTGACCCAGAGTGTTTCCCTAGCATCTCCGCCGGTCAACAACTCCAAACTGTTGCCACCCCTGTGACCAGACTATCTAACGTCGAGCGTCCCCAACGTGAAGTCTACTGACATACTAAGCCTCCCCCTAGCATGCTGTACAAGACCAGTACACCTCGGGTTATTGCGTTCAAATGGAGTAAAACAGTCGATCGCAATAATCTGAGCAGAACCACACTTAAACTACTTAAGAACTACACCTGCCACTCCCCACTGACCTGGAGACCAGCGGTGGCTGGGTGTCCCCGTGGGACATGCGAGGTCACCTGTCACACTCAGCTGACCTGCACTACCAACACCGCTAAGTTCCCAAAATCGCCAAATCTTATCACTAACATAAATCACTACACACGCAAGTTCTGGTGAACATTCCCTGAACTACACAAAACTCACAAAATCACTAAACCACAACACCAGAGAATCACAATCTCCTAACCTGAAAACTCGCTAAATCGCGAAAGTAAACACCTGTCAAGATCTCCCTGATAGCGCCTGAGCGGCAAAAGGACACGTGGGACTGAACAATGTTAAAAGAACACCAACTACCTACAACATTGTTCAACACCGCTGCCAACATTGTAACGGGGGGTGGGGGGAAATAGCTCTATCTTGTCCATTATTCCACCCCCCAGTTAACTAACGAGGCCGGGGGAAACAGCTCTCTCTTGTCCGTTATCCCGTCCCCAGTTAGCTAACTATTCTAGAGCACCTCCAGAGTTCCTAAGGCAACCTCTCTCGTTCAACACCTTGTAACCTAGGTATTTGACTACCTAGGTGCTAAGACTACAAGGCGCCGTAACTGGATCAGTTACCCGAAACTCTAGAGAGAACTCTAGAATACAAAATCATTGCCACAAACGTATAAGAGGAAACGAAAGGAAAGAAATGAAAAGTGAAGTAATTAGTGAGGGTTTGGGGTGAGAGGTAGAGAGGTGGGAGGAGCGAGGAGGGTCATTAGTTGAAAGTGAGAGTTTAGAGAGGGGGTGGAGGGAGAGGTGTAGATAGGTAGAAGTAGAAGAGTAGATAGTAGAAGTAGAAGAGTAGATAGTAGAAGACGAAATGCTGCCACCATCCATTCATGATCATTACATACAAGACAAGGAATGGAACTTGCCTGTATCACAAAATTCTCAAAAGATGTTATCATGAGTTCATTATTAGTATGTTCCCTCTGTACCATGTACTCATTAAAATCAGGGAACCAATAATCCCCGAGGCTTTCTCACCTCAACTCAACTCTAGGGACACAGTGAAAGACCATTTAAATAATAAATTCAACAATTATATTTTTCATGATAAATATCATAACTTAAGCAATCCAATTAAAATGTTAAAGATTAATATTCAAAGTGAGTCATCCTCCAAGAATCTGAGAACACTACAATTGACTGCCCCTGATCGTCACACAACACTTGTAAAACACGACAAGTCACCTTAATGTTCACTCACCGAGGACTGAGTCTAAGTTGAATAGAGAGGGGGGGGGGGGGTCTGTAGTTGACAGAGACTCCCGCCCTGCCGGCCGACAGCCTCCCTGCTAGGGCCGTCTCCTCTGCTCTGCTCGTCTGCTGTTCTCTTGATTTAATCCTCCATGCTCGATAGCTCTCCGAGTTTATATTGGGGAACCTAGTAGCTAACTCCGCCCACAAGTAGATAGCCTCCGGCACTCTACCAAGCCACTCCTTAAACGTTGGCATGTTTGAAGGCTACCAGACTACAACTAAGAGATTATCAGAAGCAAGGTGAAATTCGCATGATCTGACCTCAGGTCACTTGGGGTCATTAACGCTTTGAGGTGTGAGTTCTCAGGCAGACAACTGGCGCCTCTCAGATCCTTGTCTGTGACTCATGTACTCTATGTATGTATTAAACTAAACCAAACACTTTACAGTGTTACACAAGGAAGAAGCCAGCCTTTCCCCATCCTACACAAGGAAGAAGCCAGCCTCTCCCCATCCTACACAAGGAAGAAGCCAACCTCTCCCCATCCTACACAAGGAAGAAGCCAGCCTCTCCCCATCCTACACAAGGAAGAAGCCAACCTCTCCCCATCCTACACAAGGAAGAAGCCAGCCTCTCCCAATCCTACACAAGGAAGAAGCCAGCCTCTCCCCATCCTACACAAGGAAGAAGCCAGCCTCTCCCCATCCTACACAAGGAAGAAGCCAACCTCTCCCCATCCTACACAAGGAAGAAGCCAACCTCTCCCCATCCCACACAAGGAAGAAGCCAACCTCTCCTCATCCCACACAAGGAAGAAGCCAACCTCCCCCCATCCCACACAAGGAAGAAGCCAACCTCTCCTCATCCCACACAAGGAAGAAGCCAACCTCCCCCCATCCCACACAAGGAAGAAGCCAACCTCTCCTCATCCCACACAAGGAAGAAGCCAACCTCTCCTCATCCCACACAAGGAAGAAGCCAACCTCCCCCATCCCACACAAGGAAGAAGCCAACCTCTCCTCATCCCACACAAGGAAGAAGCCAACCTCTCCTCATCCCACACAAGGAAGAAGCCAACCTCCCCCCATCCCACACAAGGAAGAAGGCAACCTCTCCTCATCCCACACAAGGAAGAAGCCAACCTCTCCCCATCCCACACAAGGACGAAGTCAGCGTCTCCTTTGTTTCCTCAGACATGGTGGGATGCTCCTAGTCTGGAGTCCCCGCTGCCTCCTGTTCCCTGTGTCGCCTGATTCGTATCTCCCTGTCGCAGCATCCAGGGGTCTAGATGTATATCTGGCATCTGAGTTGTTGGCTAGTGTATATCTATGCATACACACTATACATACATACATGTGAGGCGGTGTATGTATGCAACTGTACACGCTTAGGGAAGAGGGATGAGAATGGCTCCTCATATTAACAACATCACACACACACACACACACACACACACACACACACACACACACACACACACACACACACACACACACACACACACATGATCATTTCACACACGAGGATAAAGTTATGATCTCAAACTGGACTTTAGAGTTATCTCCCACACACCTGCTTCATTTATACACCTGAAACATTAGTTTATTTGCTCTCATTATACGTCGTGTGTTAAATTATATTCCAAGTCGTATTCCTCCTCTCGATGCTCTCTCCTATTTACTGTTCCTCTTCTGTTTTTGTTAATTCTACTTCTTTTCCTTTTTTATTCCTTTAATAATACAATATTTGTATTATCATTCATTGTATTATTATTATCATTATTTTTATCATACATGTAATCATAAACAAATATCCACAAAGTAGAGGAAATCAAAAGCGCTGTCTACTTCCCTCAGGTTATAAAAATTATATATTGAACAGAGTAATTGAAACCTGGCTGCGGGCGAACGTAGACTTTTCCCCCCAGCTGTTCCTACCACGTTTTTTTCGACTTAGCTGCTATAAATTACTTCCAGTTACCTGATGCTTTTACCTGTCTGTTTTTACCTAGCTGTGCTTATCCCTAGTAGCATTTACCTGTTTTTACCTAGCTGTGTTTATCCCTAGTGTATCTCTGTGTACTCTGAGACACACTAGGGATATATAGCTCTAGATATAGCTCTACACTTTTGCTATATCTTTAGTATCTTTTATGTTGTAGTCATATATATGGTACTTATTGCTTTATTGAACTTTTTTTTGATGAGATACGGTTCTCTTATTTACAAGTCCCATTTTTGCAATATATGGAATCGGTGTTGAGGCAAGCTTCTGAACTCACACATGTGTTGAGAACTTGCCACATGTGTTGAGAACTTGCCACATGTGTTGAGAACTTGCCACATGTGTTGAGAACTTGCCACATGTGTTGAGAACTTGCCACATGTGTTGAGAACTTGCCACATGTGTTGAGAACTTGCCACATGTGTTGAGAACTTGTCACATGTGTTGAGAACTTGCCACATGTGTTGAGAACTTGCCACATGTGTTGAGAACTTGCCACATGTGTTGAGAACTTGCCACATGTGTTGAGAACTTGCCTAGGATGTCCCAAGCAAGTGTTGCAGACTGTTGCCTATGTTTAGTGTTCTCTGAATGACTCCTTGGCCAGGTTCCTGGGGAGCTGTCCTCAGGTCCGTCAACTATGATTCGAATATCCCTCAATCAAGTGGTAATCAAGTGGTAATCAAGTGGTAATCCCTCAATCAAGTGGTAATCAAGTGGTAATCCCTCAATCAAGTGGTAATCAAGTGGTAATCAAGTGGTAATCCCTCAATCAAGTGGTAATCAAGTGGTAATCAAGTGGTAATCCCTCAATCAAGTGGTAATCTTGGCCTGATGTCTAATACAAGCTCATTTTTTATTATTTAAAACTTTGGAATTGCCTCTTTCTTGAGCTTTCCAGCTCCTCTGGTTTCTCTTACACCCTGTCTCATTGTCCTATTTCCGATCGAGGTCGAAACAAATGGGTAGAGTTTCTTTCATCCTGATGCATCTGTTCACCTAGCAGTAAATAGGTACCTGAGACACAGCTGCTACGGGCTGCTTCCTTGGAATGTGTGTTCACACGTGAGCGCGCGCTTGTGTACTCACCTAATTGTACTCACCTAATTGTGCTTGCGGGGGTTGAGCTCTGGCTCTTTGGTCCCGCCTCTCAACCGTCAATCAACTGGTGTACAGATTCCTGAGCCTATTGGGCTCTATCATATCTACATTTGAAACTGTGTATGGAGTCAGCCTCCACCACATCACTTCCTAATGCATTCCATTTACTAACTACTCTGACACTGAAAAAGTTCTTTCTAACGTCTCTGTGGCTCATTTGGGTACTCAGCTTCCACTTGTGTCCCCTTGTTCGCGTCCCACCAGTGTTGAATAGTTCATCCTTGTTTACCCGGTCGATTCCCCTGAGGATTTTGTAGGTTGTGATCATGTCCCCCCTTACTCTTCTGTCTTCCAGTGTCGTGAGGTGCATTTCCCGCAGCCTTTCCTCATAACTCATGCCTCTTAGTTCTGGACTAGTCTAGTAGCATACCTTTGGACTTTTTCCAGCTTCGTCTTGTGCTTGACAAGGTACGGGCTCCATGCTGGGGCCGCATACTCCAGGATTGGTCTTACATATGTGGTGTACAAGATTCTGAATGATTCCTTACACAGGTTCCTGAACGCCGTTCTGATGTTAGCCAGCCTCGCATATGCCGCAGACGTTATTCTCTTTATGTGGGCTTCAGGAGACAGGTTTGGTGTGATATCAACTCCTAGATCTTTCTCTCTGTCTGTTTCATTAAGTACTTCATCTCCTATTCTGTATCCTGTGCCTGGCCTCCTGTTTCCACTTCCTAGTTTCATTACTTTGCATTTACTCGGGTTGAACTTCAACAGCCATTTGTTGGACCATTCACTCAGTCTATCCAGGTCATCTTGTAGCCTCCTACTATCATCCTCTGTTTCAATCCTCCTCATAATTTTTGCATCGTCGGCAAACATTGAGAGGAACGAATCTATACCCTCTGGGAGATCATTTACATATACCAGAAACAGTATAGGTCCAAGGACTGACCCCTGCGGGACTCCACTTGTGACGTCTCGCCAATCTGAGACCTCACCCCTCACACAGACTCGTTGTCTCCTGTTGCTTAGGTATTCCTCTATCCACCGGAGTACCTTCCCTCTCACTCCAGCCTGCATCTCCAACTTTTGCACTAGCCTCTTGTGTGGCACTGTATCAAAGGCTTTCTGACAATCCAAAAATATGCAGTCTGCCCACCCTTCTCTTTCTTGCCTTATTTTTGTTGCCTGGTCGTAGAAGGATAATTATTTTTGTTGCCTGTGTGTGTGTGTGTGTGTGTGTGTGTGTGTGTGTGTGTGTGTGTGTGTGTGTGTGTGTGTGTGTGTGTGTGTGTGTGTGTTAGAGAAATATATGTAGTAGGCATATAATAGAGGAAAAATAGATGGATTAGAAAGGCTGGGTCCAAGCTGGCTAATAGCTCAATTCTCCAGGCACAAATAGTAAATACACACACACACACACACACACACACACACACACACACACACACACACACACACACACACACACACACACACACACACCTGATTCATTACGTTACTCGTACCTACTAGACTGAAAACGTCCCGCATGTTGTAATGATAATAAATCCTGCCCCAGGAATCCTGACAGCTCCACTAAGCCCTAACCACGACAAACAAGCTACTAACGACTCCCAACGGCGTCACCGTTAATGACTATGTACCGAGTAGTAGAGCCTAAATTAAGCATGAGGCACCATAACGTAGAAAATTAGAGTAGAGTCGAGGTGGCAGGATAAACCATTTAGAGCCATAGAGCCTCAAAGCTCTAATGAACGACTTAATCAAAATAAAATAAATGAGTATTTTTGATTAGACAGAGTTTTTATTATCCTGTCTACCTACCTTTCTGTCTGTAAACATATAGCTTTACCTTTTCTGTCTACCCACCTGTCTGTAAAATATTTTCGTGTGTGTGTGTTTAATAAGAACACATAACGATATTTCCAGTATTGTACAGAGTCGAGTGACATTGGACGGGAAAGACAGAGAGAGTGAAGGTCAGTGGTGCATGACCTTAATCACGGCTCAACACTCTTCCCTCCTGGTGTACAGCTGGTGGAGGCTGTCAGGCACACGAGTCTTCAGGTGGTGAGCCACAGGTGGTGGCAGCAGGCCTGAGGCAGGACCAGCTGGCAATGTTGCACTTGACCGAGCGGCTGGACAGGTGCAATGTCGCGGGAAGGGATGAAGAGTCTCCGTCCATTGCACACTGTCATTTCTGTCTCGTCTTCCTGGGCTTGGTGGGGGAGGGGGAGGGAGAGAGGGAGGGAGAGAGGGAGGGAGGGGGAGAGAGAGAGAGAGAGAGAGAGAGAGAGAGAGAGAGAGAGAGAGAGAGAGAGAGAGAGAGAGAGAGAGAGAGAGAGAGAGAGAGAGAGAGAGACGGAGAGAGAGAGAGAGAGAGAGAGAGAGAGAGAGAGAGAGAGAGAGAGAGAGAGAGAGAGAGAGAGAGAGAGAGAGAGAGAGAGAGAGAGACCGTTACTGCAACATATAATTTGGGCTAAAAACAATTAGGAATGCTTTTACGATATCCGACAATGGAAACACCTCGTGCCACACCCGCCTAGTTCAATAGACACACAAAAGAGGGGGGGAAGAGGAAGTTGTCAACTGACAAATAATTGAAGCAAGATAATGACATTGTCAATTCTTGGGATGGAGTGGAAGAACTGCTCTATTACCCTCGTTATCATCCTCTATTTCCTTCTCTACGCCTTCACTACCTTCCTTCGTCTATTCGTCATTTACCTAATTCTATTTTCTCATCTCCCACCTCTTCCCTCTATTCTTTATTTCTCCCTTCTCTCCCCATTCCATCCTACCCACATTCTGTCTATACTTTTCTCAATTTCTTTCATCCCGCTCATTCCCTCCCCACCACCATCTCCCTTCCACCAGACCAGACCATCCTACCCCTCCTACCTATCCCACCCCCACCCCACCGGAACCCCAAACCGTCCCACAACCCTCCCACAGGAACCCAGATCGCCAGTTCACCTCGGTATGAGAATCGTTAACCACCAACCGGCAGCTTAACATTCCTGGGAGGGGGAAGTCTTGGTCTCTTACGAGGTGTTTGAAACCTACCTTTAAAAAAAAGTTCTTCAATCGCCCTCTACAGTTGATTGAGCAACTCTGTGGTTGTGCAACAACTGATCAATAG